TTTTTTTTTTTTTTTTTAAAAGCTGCTCGGGGCCGGCCCGGTGGCGCACTGGATAGTGCGCCACTTGGGAAGCGTGGCGGCGCTCCCGCCCGAGGGTTCGGATCCCACATACAGACCGGTTCCCACTCACTGGCTGAGCGAGGCGTGGGAGCAACACTGAGGGTTGCGATCCCGTTGCCGGTCCCCGGCCCGGTACGGGGGCAACACTGAGGGTTGCGATCCGTTGCCGGACACGGAAAAAAGACAAAAGACAAAAAAAAAAAAAAAAAAAGAAAGCTGCTCTCATCACGATGAGTGTCAGGTCACTGCTACTCCAGTCAGCTCTGTGCCTTCTCAGTATATCAAGAATCCTTAGAGAGAACTGTTAGCATTAGTTGAGATCTGTTCGCAAGCAATAGAAACCAATGTGAGCTAGGAGGCTTTGAACACTGATAAAGGACTTACCATGAGCAAGATAAATCATCTGGCCCTGCTGAGGACTCAGATGTATCAAGCTGGTTTATTCCCTCAAGAGGTCCTGCTATGGGTGGAATGTGTCCCCTCAAAGGTTCATATGTTGGAGACTTGAACTCCATTGTAATAGTATTAAGAGGGTGAGAAATCCTGTTATATTAATTGAAAAGTGGGCCTTTAAGAGCTGATTAGATTGTGAGGACTGTGCCCTTTGAATGGATTGATCCATTCATGGAGTAATGGGTGTGGTTCTGATGGCTTTAAAAGGAGAAGCAAGTGAGGAGGCTGGCTCTCTCTTGCTCAGCCATTCACCCTGTATGGAGAGTCAGCACCCACAGGAAGGCCCTCAATGGATATGTTCTCTTGATTTTGAACTTCCTAGCCTCTGAAACTGTAAGAAATAAATTTTATTTTTTTTATAAATTACCCAGTTTCAGGTATTCTGTTATAAGCAACAGAAAACAGACTAAAGTCCAAAACATGTGAATTGGGCAGGCTCTTTATCAGGACACACACTGCATGATGTTAAGTCATGGAGCTGACTGCAAGGACACAAGAGGAATATACCCATATCTTGAAGCCTAGTATGTCCAAGACTAAGTAGGACAATGGGTCAGCATCCTGCAGGACATGAATTCCACTTACCTACCCACCGGCTGTACCTTGCATCCACAGCTCATCCCCCAAAGGAGAAAAATCCAGTGAGGTCATCACCACCCAGTATTGAACACCATGACAATTCCTGTAAAGCCATGAAAAGGCTTGCACTCATCTGGCCTTTGTAGTATTATCTTTGGGTCCAAGCACCCAACTTTTAGTCATTAGCATGAATCACAACAACTTTTTGCAGAAAGCAACTCCAAAGCTTAAGGCCATTTATATGACCCTTGCTGATTTTGACTGGTTAGCAGCCCTCTTCCCATATAGCAGCACCTAGATTCTACTTTAGAGAACTACTCTTTTCCCAATATACTCTGGCCAAAAAGTGGGTACATGACCCAAGATAGAGACACAGTCTCATCCTGGAATCTGAATCTGGAGAGAGACTTCTGGAACTGCCCAACTCCTGGCTCTTTGGAGTGTGGCTGAATTCCCCCACAAAGTTCCAAAAGATGCTTTTTCTGCTTAAGTGAGTCAAAATCAGTTCTTGTTCCTTAGAAGTCACAGGAACTGAGCTGCTTTGCTGAGTCGGTGGCTATGGGCATGGTCGGTACTTTTTCCAGGCAGAAAAACACCCTACAGAGGGAAGAGTCGCACCTAGTATTTTGTCTTGGAACAGAGAATTAAAAATAATGTCAGAAAAAACATTGAGTCAGGGAGCACAGAGCGCCAAGGTAATGATAGGTTTTGATGAGGAAGTCTCTATTTTTCTATGTTCAGATAATGGCATCAACAGAAGAAAACTGGCACTGCCCAAGATCTCTTCTCGCAGTTGCTACCATGGAGCATATTACATGTGCTGTCATCTTTTGGAGCCAATAACCACACTCATCCATTAGATTAGACTTTATTTTCAGGAAGGCATCATTCATTGCATTCATTTGTCTAAAACACTATATAATGCATTCAATTTGTATAACGAATTAGATAATCAAGGGTTTGGGTTTTTTAAAAGTTATTCAAGAAATTCTTCCTTTCTTTTCAAAAGTCACGCCAAGCTGTTATATACAGCCAAGATCACAAGAATACAAGTGTCATAAGTCGACTGGATCCTGAGAATTATTCATCAGCATCCACAGGGAAAAGGAAAACTCTGCCCTTCTGAAGCAGGTCTATCATTTTTTTAGGAAATTGGTAGAGCTTCTGAAAGCTTCAACATTTATGATTATGCTAATAGCTGTTACAAATGTATTTTGTACAATCTGTGCTGAGTCAGCTAAGAGTCACCAGGCTGCAGGTAGGCAGGTAAAACACATCCTTGCAGATCTATTACTATCAATGATGACATCTGAAAGCCTCAAATGGCAAACCCAGAGTTTGTTCCCATTGCATTCATATATACCTACACACGTTAGGAGCCTTCCTACCCATAACATTTCAAATAAACACACAATGCTGCCTGTCTCATGTAGCATAGACTGTTCACAGCCAAGATATCCCACCATTCTAAAAAATAAAAAAGGAGGGGAAAATAGCTTTAACACCCCATTCATTTATGCTATCAAAATTTTCTAGCAAAAAACAGCAAAACCCATACAAAATTTAGAGACAGGAAAACTCAAATTTCAGCCACTGGTAATCTCTAAAGACAGACCGTGTGTTTCTATGCCCTACCATTTGGAAAGCTCTTCCCTTCCAGACCCTTTCTAGTTGAGAACAGAACAGTCATTCCAATCACTCTGCATGAAGAATCTTGTTGCCCCTGCCTGACAGCTCACATCTGGAACATTCGGTGTGCCTCCATGGCAACACAGGAGCCATGAAGTTTATGAAAGCATTCCAAGTGAGAGAAAATGTTGGAAAAACCCATCCTGTCCTGCTCCCCACTAAAGGTACTGATCCTACTATTTAACTACATCCAAGGAACTAGGGAAAATACCCTGATGGTTGCAGAGAACCTATTCAAGCTGTCCTCCAAAGTGCAAAGGAGGATGCCTGTAACCCAGCTTGTCCCGCATGCTTCACTCTCAAACTTCCCCCCTCAGGAGGGAGGGGAAGGTCCTCAAAGTCTCTCAGCATCCTCTCCTATCCCAGTTGCTCAAGATAACTTGATTCTTTCCCAACAAGGTGCACTTGGAAAGTAGAAAGCCTTTGAATCGTAACAGTAAAGAAATGGGGAATATACAAAAGCAGTGAGTTTAGGATTAGCCCTCTTGGTGTTGCTTTAGAGATGACTCCAGGCTGCTGCCAGAAATGGGACTACCAGCAGAACTGTTTTCTCTGATAAGGTTGTCCCACCATTGCCAATACCACTTTCATTTTCACTGGCCTCCTTATTACACAGATCCTGCTGGCAGCAGTTGTACTGTATCTTGTTATCCCCTAATATCCGTGAAACACGGTCAAAAGTGCAATCCGCCAACTTCCAACACTGGTAATACTTCCGTGGCTCTGTGGGGAGACACACACACACAAGGGTAAGAAAGCAAGTGGGTATAATTCGGTACCTACCTTTGAACACTCAATTCTACTTTTTAGAATTTAGCCTGTGCAAGTAGAGACATCTAGGCAAAAATGTTCATTCTAGTTGGTTGTAAAGGGGAACAATTAAGTAAATGATGATACACCCCTGAGGGAACTTCTCCTAAAACCAAAATCTCATCAGAGCCAATATAGTTGTGTGTGTGTGTGTGTGTGTGTGTGTGTGTGTGTGTGTGTGTGTGTGTGGCGCAATGGGCATCTATACTGTTGTTTAAGAGGAAAATTCGGTAATATCTACCAAGATTTTAAACACATCCTGCCTTTGATCCAGCAATTCCACTTTTAGAGTTTACCTATGAAGCTACTTGTAAAAGTGGTTAAGATATACGCTCAAGAATGGTCACTGCAATACTATCTGCACAGCAAGAAACTGAAAAACAGGCTGTTAATTAAAAAAATTTTTTTGAAGAAATTTTGGTAGAATTCCATACAATGGAATTCCATGCAGATAAGGAATGACATAGGCCTGCAAGTACTGACATGGAATGGAAAGAGCTTCAGTTTTTAAAAATAACTGCAGAAAAACAGATAAATTGGACTTCATCAAAATTTAAAACTTTAGGTAGGAATTGGTAAAGGGCCAGGAAAAATGATTATATTGTATATGTTGAATATACTAATTATTCTGATTTGAGCATCCCATATTGCACACAGGTATTGATATTCAACTCTGTACCCCACAGATATGTACAATCAACCATGTTACAATAAAATGAAATAAAAATAAAAATAAAGTTTTCAAACAAAAAGATATTTAAAACTTTTGTGCTTCAAAAGACATTATCAAAAAATAAAGACAAGCTACAGAAAGGGAGAAAATGTTTCCAAATCATATAAAAGTCTAGTATCCAGAATATATAAAATATTCTTGTAACTCCACAATAAAAAGACAAATAAGCAAATTTAAAAATGGGCAAAAGGGCCAGCCCGGTGGCGCACTCGGTAGAGTGCGGTGCTTGGGAGTACGGCGGCACTCCCACCGAGGGTTTGGATCCCATATAGAGACCTGTCCGCTCACTGGTTGAGTGCGGTGCGGGCGCGACACCGAGGGTTGCGATCCCGTTGCCGGTCGCGGTACGGGCGCGACACTGAGGGTTGCAATCCCATTACCGGTCACGAAAAAAGACAAAAAAAAAGGAAAAATAAATAAATAAATAAAAATGGGCAAAGGATTTGAATAGATATTTCTCCATTTTTCCAAAGAAGATATACAAATGGCCAAAAAGCACATGAAAAGATGCTCAACATCATTAGTCATTAGGAAAATGCACATCAGAATCACAAGGTATCACTTCATACTCACTAGGCTGGCTATGATCAAGAAAATGGAAAAGTGAAAGTGTTGGTAAGGAAGTGGAAAAATTGGAATCCTCAGACATTGTTGGTGGAAATGTAAAATGGTGCAGAAGCCTCGGAAAAGTTTGGTAGTTCCTCAAAAAGTTAAAAATAGCATTACCACATGACTGAGCAATTCCACTCCTAGGTATATATACTAAAGAGAATTAAAAACTATGCTCATCCAAAAGTTTATACACGAATGTTCACAGCAGCATTATTAAAAATAGATAAAAAGTTAAACAACCCAGGGGCCGGCCCGGTGGCGCACTCGGTAGAGTGCGGCGCTTGGGAGCGCGGTGGCGCTCCCGGCGAGGGTTCGGATCCCATATAGAGACCGGTCCGCTCACTGGTTGAGCACGGTGCGGGCGCGACACCGAGGGTTGCGATCCCGTTACCGGTCATGAAAAAAGACAAAAAAAAAAAAAAGTTAAACAACCCAAATGTCCATTAACTGGTGAATGGATAAACAAAATGTCATATATCCATACACTGGAATATTATTTGGCCATGACAAGAAACGAAGTACTGGTACATGCTACAACATGGGGGAACCTTGAAAACATTATGCTTAGTGAAAAGAACCAGTCACAAAGGACACAGTACTGTAGATTTCATTTATATGAAGTATCCAGAATAGGCAGGTCCATGAGGGCAGAAAGTAGACTAGTGGCTGCCAGGGGATGCAGGAGGGAGAAATGAGGAGTGACTGCTAACAGGCGAGGGTTTTCTTTTGGGAGTAATAAAAATTCCCTGGAATTAAATAGTGGTTTTAGTTTCACAACTTTGTGAATATACTAAGAGCCACTGAATTATATACTTTAAAATGTAAATTTTCTGGTATGTGGATTTTATCTCAATTAAAAACAAACCAAGATGCTAAACAGTATATAGGTGATCCATTTGTGTCAACAAAGCATATATGCATGCAGGTAAATGCATTAATCTTTCTCTGCAAGGATTCACAAGTAATTTAACAATATTACCTTCATGGAAGAATACTCTTCACATATATGTTTCTGTGTGGATTGAGTTTTTCTTTTTAATTGTCATATGAATAACTTTTATTTTAAAAATATTTTAAATTTCATTTAAAAATCATTACATTATTCAGTAGTACAGGAAAAGTTTCCACAAGATCACTCTTACCTTTTGTGCTGAAAAGAAAAAAATACGGATGTCTATTTTCTTATTTAAGGGTTGTAACTAATTTACCCAATTCCATTCATAGCTTGAGACAGAACACTTCTAAGTTGACAGCTGCCTGTATAATTGCCTGTCCTCCCCCTCAGAGGCGATGGGTATTTGGATTGGATTTTAATGAAGTTTGGTCAAGTGGCAGAGGCAAGATAGGATGTTCCAGAAATGGCTCTCCTTGTTTGAGTCATACCTATTTAAGTGGATGCTTCTAATATTGTACTAGAGGTTGCTGTTGAATAGGGCAAGTTACTGCTTTATGTAATAGTAAGCACTGGAACTTGAAAAGCATTAAAGCTACCAGAATTTTAATTAGGGAAGCCTAACAGCTTGGGAAGAATGGTAATTTACTTACCAATTAATCACTTACTGTGTGTGTGTCCTGCAGTGTGTCAAGCACTTTACTTAAATTATCATATTGGAATAACCTTATGATGGGTGATCTTTACAAAAGCCAGTGTCAGAATCACCCAAATCAATGTGGATTCTCTCAGAGTTGCTGGAGTGTTAGAGGTTCTGTCCTTGCTCAGCACATTCTCCCCATTCCTTTTGAAGACTTGGCTTAAGTCTCCCTAAAACAACAGTTCTCAATTGTCCTAGGCACCCCTACATGTGGCCCTTATTCAGATGCCATTCTAGCAGTGACCACTTGGTACTATGGTCGGAGGCTCCTCCAAGACTCTAAGTACATTTAACGTGGCTTATACTTCCACGATTTATACTGCCAGGACAACAGTAAATATTGGCTGAATCAGCACCCAATGCCTGTCTCTCTTCTAGACTCAACTTTGCACAGCACTATCTACCCATTCTCTCTTCTAACTTCCCCAATGACCCCAGAGCTAAGTATTCCTGTTCTAGAGCTGAGGGAACAACTGTGGCTAGAGAAGTGAAATGATTTTCCCAGTGTTGTGCCTGGCCTGTTGTGGGGAACTGTGTGTTCTCATGATGACCCCCTGAGTTGCAGAGCCAAAAGGACAGACTGCCAACTGGTGGCGGGCTGAGCACGGAAAAAGCTGAGGCTGCGGCCCAGCAAGTTTGTGAAAACTGCATGGTCTCATTTATGACTGCTGATTAAAATCTAGTTGGCCGACCACAAGAACTAAGCTGCGCTCG